ATTTTCATGTTTTCCTTTTAGGTAAATTTCAAGTGATGATACAGAAGCTATAGAACCTACTGAAATGCAAGGCTTTACTAGTGTAAAGAGATAAATTATTCCTGTATAAAATATTTCAGAAGGCAATGATTACATTGTTGGACATTTGTACTGTTATAAGCTATTTGCTAACTTGTATAATGAAAGATGCACGCTTAAGCAGAGGAAGGTTGTATTTTATCAATTTAAGACAGACCTTAACATACACTTTACTAAAACTATTCAGAATGAAAACCTAATTTCTAGTAACTAAACACCAATGCAGGACCCTTATTTAAACATTTTTATTTGCTTAGAGTGATACATATTTAACCAGAAATGGAGAAGCAAAACTCAGGGTTTGGTAAATTAGCATAAAGAAAAGTATGCACCAATCAGAATCATTTGTGTAAAAATGAACAAATTTTGGTTTATGAATTTGTTATTAAAGAAGCAAATAGTACACTAAATTTTAAACTTTATCTTATTGCTTATAATTTATTTCTATTAAAGAGTTTTTATGCATGTATAAGGATTTCATTATATACATTGTGTGTTATGTGTGTGAGATATATCATATTTAACTGCCTAAATTGCTTTAAAACTTTATTTTACTTTAATAGAATTCAGTTCTTGAAAGCTCCATTAATATAATAAAGTAAAGTGCAGATCTAGACAAAGTGGGATACAGATGTGAATTCAGGGACTCGAGCCGAAGAGTAACGCGTATTTGAGGAAGGAACTGTTCTACTTGCTGCTGTTGCAGTCCTGACTTTGCGTCTCTCTCCAATGTGGAAGCGCTGGTGGAGGTTCTAACATCTGTACTCCCCCTTAGTTTCAGTCTTCCCCAAGGGCAGAGGGGTGGATGCATCGCTAGTCACACCGGTATTCATGGGCCCATGAGCTTCTGTGGGTTGAGGCCAGTGTTCATCTAGTGTCTCTCTTGTCTCTTCTTTCGTATGATCATGAAAGGACAAGCGTGGAGATGAAGGCTGTCATATTAAGGATAGCAGGTGCAGATAGAAAGCACCTGAATTGTGCTCCTGAATTAACCAATCCTGGAACTGCTATACCTTTGGACTTTTTCTTTTATAATAAATTCCTTATATTGTTCAGTCTCCCTTTTGTGTATTTTGTTGTGTGTGTGTGCTCAGTTGTGTCTGACTCTTTGCGACCCCATGGACTGTAGCCCGCCAGGCTCCTCTGTTTATAGAATTCTCCAGGCAAGAATATTGGAGTTGAGTGCCATTTCCTTCTCCAGGAGATCTTCCCAATCCAGGGACTGAACCTGCATCTCTAGTGTTTCCTGCATTGGCAAGCAGATTCTTTACCATTAGTGCCACCACTTGTAGCCAAAAAATAGGCCTGTCTTGGTAGAGGTGAGGCAAAAGTTAGGTTATACAAGAAACAGTATGGGAATATTGAATTTTCTTTGTTCTATAGGGGGAGGGGAAGACAAAGGTTTACATTTAAGACAATAAAACCATAAGGTGCTAAAGACAATATGAGGTTTTATGATCTTGTAGTAGAGAGGGCCTTTTCAAGCTTGTAGAAAATCAAATAAAGCCAAATAATAGAAAAATAGCATATCTTCAAGAAATGGTACTGGGAAAACTGAATACACATCCACATGCAAAAGAATGGAATTGGACCCTTATACCATACACAAAAATCTACTGAAACTGTGTTAAAGACTCAAGACCTGAAACTTTAACATTCCCAGAGGAAAACAGGAAAAGAGCTTTATAAAACTGTTCTTAGCAATGGTTTCTTGGATTTGACACTGAAAGCACTGGCAACAAAAGCAAAAACAGACAAGTGAGACTGTATCAAACCAAAAAGCTGCCCAGCAAAAGAAAGAACAGAGTGTAAAGTGGCCCTGTGGAATGTGGAAAATTGACGCAAACCATGTTCCCTGGTAAGTGGTTAATACCTAAAGCATACAGGGAACTAAACTAGCAAAAAAACCTCAAATAACCCAATTGGAAATGAACAGAGGACTGACACACATATTACTCCAAAAATACATACAAATGGCCAACAGATATATAAAAAGATGCCAAGTATCATTACTAATGAGGGAAATGCATATCAAAACCACCATTAGTTACTACCCCACACCAGTTAGGATGGCCATTAAAAAAAACCCAAACCAGAAAATATGTGTTGGCAAGGATGTGAAGAAATTGGAACCCTCGTGCACTCAGTGGGAATGTTAAAATGATACAGCCACTGTGGAAGAGAGTATAGAGATTTCACAAAAATTTAAAACTAGAACTACTATATATTCCAGCAATCCCACTTGAGAGTATTTATTACAAATAATTTAAATCAGGATGTTGAAGAGTTATTTGCACTCCCATGTCCACTGCAGCATTGTTAACAATAGCCAAGAAGTGGAACCAACCTAAATGTTCACTGTATGTATAAGGATTTTCACTATTTGACTATATTCATTGATGGCACTTGATTTGTACTGGCAAACAAGGAAATAATGTGCAGCCAGTAAAAAGGATGAAATAGAGCTGTATGTATTTGCTTACATGGAATGATGTTAATTGGCCTTAAGAGAGAAAGGTTTGATTTTTTACAGGATACCACACATGCAATATGTAAAATATAAATATACATGACTATGAGTGTATCCAAAAGACTTGAAAGGTGTAAGTAAATTGTACAGTAGATTATTTTAAAGTAATCCCACAATGAAGATATTTTTATTTGGGTATCTTTCTGTACAACTTTATATTTTAATTATAGTCATCAACAGCCCTAAGTGAACTGTAAACTTGTGTTGAAGAGCAGATATATGTTTCAAAAGTAAATATACTGTATGAATGACAAACTATGAGGTAGCTTTATAAACTAGTTTTTATAAATTGTAGTCAGTGGCCTATACTAACCATGACGACAGTTCAACCCTTGTCTACTAGCCAAACCTCTGTAAAGGAACTTAAGCCTGGAGATGTCATCAGAACCTGTCTTGGTCCATTTGGGCTGCTTTTCTACTATATACTGCTATACTCATCTTTCTCAATTTCAAACACATTTTTATTATTTTTGTCCCCAGATGGTAAAACTGGTAACTTGAACCACTTTTCATCTAGTTCAGTCTCTAATTGACTAATTCTGCTAAGAGATACAGATGAAATAATCTTATCTTAAAAAATGAATACACGATAACCCTATATGCAAAACAGAAAAAGAGACTCAGATGTATAGAACAGACTTGTGGACTCTGGGAGAAGGCGAGGGTGGGATGTTTGAAGAGAACAGCATTGAAACTTGTATATTATCTACGGTGAAACAGATCACCAGCCCAGGTTGGGTGCATGAGACAAGTGCTCAGGCCTGGTGCACTGGGAAGACCCAGAGGGATCGGGTGGAGAGGGAGGTGGGAGGGGGGACGGGGATGGGGAATACATGTAAATCTATGGCTAATTCATTTCAATGTATGACAAAAACTACTGTAATGATGTAAAGTAATTAGCCTCCAACTAATAAAAATAAATGGAAAAAAAAATGAATACAATAAAAGTACAATTTAATGAATGCATAATGTCCCCCTGACCAAAAGAAGTAATCAATCTTTATGTGAAAAAAAAATAGGTGCAATCCAATTTATCTGGTCCATACCCCCCCAGACCTGATTAAACTACTGTATGGTAGCTATTATTTTCAAAATAATTACCTCTAAATTCTGTATTTAAAATGTGTAATTTCTCAATGAACTTAAAAGATTTCTGTGTCAAAAAGTTGGAAAAATTTTCCTCTTCAATTTCTCATTAACATCAGAAGATACTTTCATTTGTTAAAGACTTGATAAACCCTTCAGCTATACTGGTAGTCTGCCTAACTATATTTGTGGCTTAAAATATCTTGTTTCTACATTCCTGAAAAATATCCTTATGCCAAGTAAAGTTATTACAAAAATTAATTTTCAGTTAAATATTAGAGACCTACAGCTTGCTGGAAAACAAAGGTATAAGAGCATTAAAATAATTTCATATACCAATTGTCTTCTGTACATGCAAAATTGCCTGTTTTGTTTCAAGTCCTCAGGAAAGTTAATTCTTCTGTGTGAGTAGTGACCATAATTACATGCTCAGCCACTAGCCATGGAAAAGTTATACATTAGTTACAACAATAACTGACACTTTATACCTTTACTTTTAATAAGTCAGTCCCTAGCCTTACCCACTAAAGATCAAATAGCAAAGAACATGAGGCTATTACAAGGCTACTTGTGGTTATTGGTTGGAAATGTAGAAAATATAATTCTGGCAAATAATGTGTGAGTTGAGGATTTCTTGTAATACTTTTCTCCCCTGATATGACATCAAGAAGTGTGATACCTTTTTATCCTCCCTGGAATGTAGATTCAAAAAGATAAAACAACCATATCATGACCAAAAAGATGAAAACTATCCTCTAAGACTGATGAAAGAGAAATCTGTATGTAGCCTAGGATATTTAAGATATTGTTACAGCCAGCTGCTACACCAGCCCTGAACTTCTTAAACCAGAATTAATGAGGAAAAAAAAAATTCTTAATTTTTAAAACCTCAGTTAGGTCAAGTTTCAAAAGCAATATTTAACTGTTGGAATCTTATGATTTGCAATCCTACCCATGGGAACTTCTGGTCAAAGAAAGGAAAAAGTTATACATAAAGATACTTTCTATATTGGATTAGCACTGAAAACATTAATATCCAACAATGACAGGAGGTTTAAATTCTGATAAAACACAACTTAAGACTACTAGGCTACCATTTAAAACTCAGTTTTTTGATGGAATTCCCTGGTAGTCCAGTGGTTTGGACTCCTTGCTTTGATTGCTAAGGGCCCGGGGGTTCAATCCCTGGTTGGGGAACTAAGATCCCACAAGCCACTCGGCGCGACCCCCCTCCCCGACTGCCAAAACCAACTTTTGGAAGACAACATGGTAGAAAAGATTAAAATACAAAATTACATCTGCTCCATTTATAACTAGTGGCAAAACTACTGGTTGCCCGATCCACGTTTATTCCCAATCCTCTTTTCCTTTTCCATTTCCCTTTAGAAAGATTGGAAAAGCTTACAATTTCATTTCTCATTCTTCTTGGAGCTAGAGGTAATGATTTTATACATTCAAGGCCAACAGATGAACACAAGTCTGCTGTGGATTTCTGGAGAAGGTTTTGCTTTTATGAGAAAAGGATCAGATGTGCGAGGCCCTGCCTCCTCCCCTCACTTTTCTGTCTTGAATACAGACACACTGCTCCGCACTGCAGTGGCCATCTTACCGTGAGGGAAAAGCTAACAGACTTTCAGAGACCTTGGTAAAGTGGAGTCACGGAACCAATGCCAGCTCCTCTAGGTTTTTTGTTATATGAGAAAAATAAATCCCTATTTGAAAAACCATTGCTACTTGGATCTTCTGTCACTTAAGTATGAAACACTCCTACCTGATATAGAAGTAGAAAAATTTTAAGTGATATGATAAAAGATGTGACAGAAAAATTAAGTGTTGACCTTTTATAGTATTACAGAAAATGATTTGTAAAGAAAAAAATTGCATTTATGCAAGAAAACTTTAAAAGATAAAAGTACTGAGCGTAAAGAGAAAACATCAGACTAATTTTGTAGCTAACTATGAATACACATGTCATATAATCCAGATTATCTTAATTCTAATACTAAGGACATTAGTCTGCTGTCTTTTGTTTTGTTAAAAGAGTCAAACAAAATTTAGTAACCAAAACATATTTTCAATAAAATTTTATATGTATATATGTAAATAACAAAACAGCACCAAAGACCTCTGTACAAGTTTACCATACAGGTTCTGTGTAGGATGCTTCATCAATATCTTTTACTTTTGCTCTAAAAGCACGTGATTACAGAAAACTGCTTATTCATTAAAAACTGGGTAAGATCTTTCAAAGATACCTCAGATATTCAAAATAATACAACCTATCTTCTAAGATCAACCTGAGTTGCACAGGTTAAGTTGAAGACTCTTCACAGGGTGCTGAAAATGTGAGGCAATCTGCACTTGAACTGGCAGTGCACTTCCTCAGACTCAGGCTGTCTTCATCACAAGTATCTTCTATCTCTGAGAGATCAGCTACATCAAGATGGCTCATCAGCTAAGTCACGCTGGTCAAAATACCTGGTGAAAAAAGAATTTGCACAGCTAAGGAAAGCATAAAATGAAAAGGGAACCTATGAACTGGGAGAAAATATTTGCAAACGATGTGATCCATGAGGGTATAATTTCCAAAATAAAAAAACAACTCATGCAACTCAATAACAAAAAAACCCAATTAAAAAAGTGAGCAGAAAACCTATACAGACATTTCTCCAGAGAAAATATATAGCTGGCCAACAGGCACATGAAAAGTTACTCAACATGACTAATTTTTTGAGAAATGCAAATCAAAACTACAATGAGGTATCAACGCATGCCAATCAGAATGGCCATCATCAAATGATGGAAAGGGTATGGAGAAAAGGGAACTCTCCTACACTGTTGATGGGAATGGAAATTGGTGCAGCCACTATGGAAAAACAGTGTGGAGGTTCCTAAAAAAAATTAAAAATAGAGTTACCATATGATCTAGCAATCCCACTCCTGGGCATGTATCTGGAGAAAACTCTAAAAAGGTACATGTATATACATATATAAGGAACATCACTAAGCTATAAAAAATAATTAAATAATGCTATTTGCAGCAACATGGATGGACCTAAAGATTATCATACAAGGTGAAGTAGGTCAGACAAAGATAAATACCATATGATATCACTTTTATGTGGAATCTAAAAAATGGTACAAATGAACAAAATGATACAAAACTGAAACAGACTCACAGGCATAGAAAACAAGTTTATGGTAACTGAAGGAGAAAGGTGAGGGGCAGGGCAGGGGAGATTGAATTAGGAGTTCTCAGTGAGCAGATACAAATTGCTACATACAAAATAAACAAGGTCCTACTGTATAGCATGGTGAACTATATTTACTATCTTATAATAAAACTATAATGGGAAAAATCTGAAAAAGAATAGTATATATATATGCATAACTGAATCACTTTGCCATGCACCAGAAACTAATACAACATTGTAAACCAACTATATTTCAATTTTAAAAAATTAAGGTATATTTAAAAATGTTAATTGCAGCATATCCAAAAAGATACATCTATATACATATATAAGGAATATTACTCAGCTATAAAAAATGTTTTTGTAATAGCAAAAGACTACAAACAACCCAAATATCCATCAATAAAGCGACTGGCTGAATAAACCACAGTACATCTATACAGTGAAAGATTACAAGGCTTTTATAAAAAAAGGAATGAGGAAAATATCTACACTGAAACCATGTAATTCCCAGGATTCATTAAGTAAAAAAAAACAAAGTACAGAATGGAAAGCTAAGTATGTTATGTTTTATAAGCATGTGTAGGGTATATATACATTTGCTTATATTTTTAAAAAAGAAACAGTGAATGGGAGGATAAATAAAAAATTAACAATAAAACAGATAACTACAAAAGGGAGAAAAGAGACTACAGAGGATAAAGGTGGATTCTAACATGCTCCAATACAAATTACGATTTTAACTTTGGAACAATGTAAATATTTTATGAAATTATAAAAGAAGTTTAAGTAAAAATAAAATCACTAACCAGACTCCACTAAATGAATCTTCTCCTATACTATGTTGGTGGCATAAACCAAACAGGAGAATAATTCCAAGTAATCTTAAACATGATGTTCTGTATATGTAACTAGTAAGATACACCATGGACAAAAAGAACTGCAAAGAATTCTTAAAGGGACTTCAACAGTTTTACTACTGGTAATATTGTTAGTATTGTTATTCTGAAACTACTATGTGAATATTGTAGGATAAAGCCAATAATTATTAAGAAAAATCAAGTAATCTTAAGTTAGAACTGAAATGTCAACTTGGGTCTATAATTTTATTTTTCTTTCTCTAAAAAATACATACTTCATAGCTCTGTTCAGTGAAAAGGCCTAAATGCAATGACAAACCTGAAAACATCTAGCTTCCCTAATGTTCAAATCATGGACTCTAGATACCACTTTCTACTTTGAAAGAGGAACCAGCACTCCCAGGAGAAAAGACTAATTCCAGATCTGGAGCCAGAAGTGCCCAAGATACAACTGAGTCATTCCGGCAGAGCAGAAAGTAAGAAAGCTATCAAAAGACCACTGAGGTTATAGACCAAAAAGCATAGGAACTGATTTGAAGGGCTCCCACTATCCAAAGATAGAACAATTTGAGCATCAAAAAGAAGACTGCTGTATCCCTTTACCTGAACATGAAGATCAACCTCACACCACTCTATGAAAGACAACTAGACAGTATGCTTCCTGACGTGACACAAGAGCACCCAGTCTTGTAAACAAACACACAAACACCATTATATATAATCAAACCTCTAGGCCTACCTACCAGTTTACAGAAAACATGCAGGATAAATAACCATTAAACACCACCATGAAGTTAGCTGTCAAAACCAAAATACAGGAAATTTTACAAGTCAAAGGATCCATTTTTTTCAACAAATAAATAGCAAAGAAAAAAACCAAAAGGGTTGATGGGGGTACTTAAGAGACATACCAGACAAATGCAACGAGTGCATCCTACTTGGATCCTGGATTGAAATTCAAACATAAAAAGACATTCCTGGGACAATTAGGGAATATGAAACACAACTGGGCATCAGATGATATTGAGTTATCACTAAATTTACTGGTTATGAGAGTAGTATTACAGTCATTTTTTTTAAAAGCCATTTATCAATCAGATACAATAAAACAGGAGAAATAATATGTCCAATATTTGTTTAAAATATATTTTTTTCATTTATTTTTATTAGTTGGAGGCTAATTACTTCACAACATTGCAGTGGGTTTTGTCATACATTGACATGAATCAGCCATGGGGTTACATGTATTCCCCATCCCGATCCCCCCTCCCATGTTTAAAATATTTTTATGTGTTTAAAAATCTCTATAATAAGGAGCATAAAAAATAATTATGATTGGTAAAATAATTAAGGTGGCTAACAGCTACTGGGGGGCTTCCCCAGTGGCTCAGTAGTAAAGAATCTGCCTGCAGTGCAGGAGAGCGGGTTCGATCCCTGGGTTGGGAAGATCCCCTGGAGGAGGGCATGGCCACCCACTCCATTATTGTTGCCTAGAGAATCCCACAGACAGAGGAGCCTGGTAGGCTACAGTCTATAAGGTCACAAAGAGTTGGACACTACGCTGAAGCAACTATGCACACACAACAGTTACTGGGTCCTGTGTGAGTGGGATCCTACTCATCTGATAAGGTATTTCTATGAATTAGCAGCTATTGCCTTATCTGATAAGGTATTTCTATGAATTAGCAGCTATTGCCTTAAAGCTATCAAAAGAAAACCAACAACAAAAAACACAGAAGACTTATAACCATGTAAGTTGCTTACACTGAAGCAGTTAAAACAGAGTCAAGGCCTATGTTATATGGTTTTCAAACCTGCTGTAACCTATAGGTTTTCCTAAGTGAAGTCTATAGCCTCAGAAACGTCTGCCCTACCTTCTAAGGATTAAATGAGTTCCTATTTTGAAGCACTAAGAAAAATGCCTGGCACAACTGACCAGCAAGTATTATTATCATTAGCATAATTATTATAGATCAAGAAACTAAATGCTGAACGTGTTTATATTTTGAAAAAGTATCTCGCTTGGCAATGGGAAAAATGAACACAGTTATTACTTACCATCCCAATATTTAAATATATTATAAAGCACTGAAAAGTTATTAGTGTTGGAATAAAAACACAGACCAATGAACAAAAATAGCAAGTCAAGAAAGAGACCTAAAATAAATATGTATGTGTATGTATACACATATTCACATACAAGAATTTAGAAATATAAAGACATTTTCATGTAAATTCCAGGTGGAATTTTAATGTAAGAAATGAAATAAAAAATAAACTAAATAAAAATATGCCCCAACTGACAATGAACAAAGGACACAAGCAATTAAAAAAAAACTGCAATAAAATGAAACATATTCTATCCTTATGGATAACCACACAAAGCAAATAAAAATAATCTGCATCTTTTTATTACTACTAGAATGCAAATATTTACATCAACTGAAAACACTCAGTGTTGAATAGTAGATGGGCACTCTCACCAACATTTTAGTGGGAACCCAGAGTGGTATGATCTTTCTAGAAGGCAAATGCAATAAATATCTCAGTTTTACAAGTACAAGTTTACAATGTAAGCCCTTTAATTTATTTCCAGGATTTTGCCCTTAGGCAATAAGTAGAGCTGTACGTGTAAGAATCTTCAATGCAGCATTATTTACAGAGAAAAACTAGAAATAAAGGGAATTGTGATACATATACTGTATCCTTATGCCTCAACTTCCTCACTGTAAAATGGAAACAATACTTTCTACCACCATTAATAATGCTTTTATAAAGCAAAAAAGTGAAAATGAAGTCGCTCAGTCGTGTCCGACTCTTTGACCCCACGGACTGTATCCTACCAGACTCCTCCATCCATGGAATTTTCTAGGCAAGAGTACTGGAGTGGGTTGCCATTTCCCTCTCCAGGGGATCTTCCCAACCCAGGGATCAAACCCGGGTCTCCCACATTGCAGCTAGACACTTTTACCATCTGAGCCACCAGGGAAGCTCACAAAGAAGTCAAGGATTACTTACCTGCTAACCAAGCAGATTAATAAATTCAAAGCAGGAACCCTTTCATCATCTTTGCTGTCCTAAAAAGTAAAAAGAAAAAAAGAAAGCTTGAAATGTAATCTGTTATCCCCTAACTTTTTCTTCTTCTTTTATTGTGGCCTCGCAGCACATGGGATCTTGGTTCCCTGACCAGAGATCAAACCCACGCTCCCTGTGGTGGAAACAGAATTTTGCTTCCACTGGATTGCCAGCAAAGCCCCAACCACCTATTATTTTTGAAGGAAGTTTCAAGGTGCAAAACATGAACGTTTTATTAGATGACAATAATAATCACATGGATATAGGAAACATCAAAGAAAACAGAGAAACTGTAGAGTTAATGATTCCTTGAGAAACATCTAAGATCTTTTAAAGAAAGCTCCTGAATAGGTCTTAGAAAGGAATAGAGTTGAGGGCTCTAAGGAGGATAACTTGGGAGAGATACTTTTCCTGATTCCAAGTATAAGACTGATAAAAGCCTGTGTCCTAACTGGACACTAATGGAAACAAAATATATAGACATATTTTAAAGAAAATATTTCAGATCAGAGTTCTCAATGATGAAGGAAGTTGTTCCTAAACTATACATTTCCTAAAATTCACTTTAAATATATAGTGAGTAATAAGTTACATTTTGCTTAGAGTGCAGGCCATTTAAATTAGTCTGTGCCATCTCATGGAAGTTTAATGAAAATATTTTGTAGTAGTCAGTGGAGAACAGTTATATATTTTGTGCAGGTGAAAGGAGGAACCAAAAAAAATCAGCTTAGTCTGGCATTGAATTAATTTATATCGTAATGCTGCAGGCATGAGTTAGAGGAAGGGTCTAACTAGAAAAATTCAAAACCATTATCATGCCAGAGACTGCTAGTTGACCACTCTGGCTTCTTGATTCACCTTATTATGTAGCAAATGAAGCTCATTTTCAGATGGGTACACTGTCACCCAACCAAAATAAACGTTTCCTATAGTTCTTTATGGTCATGTGACCAAATTCTGGCCAATAAGCTGTTTTGGCCAGATGTGCTTGTAAGAGGCTTTGGCAAGGCTCTTTAGAGGGAAAGACCTTCTCTTCTTTCCAGCTTCCTTTAGTGAAACATATTGGCGGAACCTGGATTATGAAGTGAGTTTGGGGAGGGAAACCACATGTGGCAGAACTCAAAGGCCTGGGTTACCACCACCTTAGATCTAATCTGCCTATCTTCATACTCCCTTTGAGAAAAAACTTCCATTTTATTTAAGATAATGTTATTTTGGACTCTTCTATTATGCAGCTAAATCTAATCCTAACAACATAGTCCACGTTTTGTTATTTCACTGAAGTCATTCTTTACCACCACAGAAGCCGCTGAGTACTTCCGATATGAAATAGTGAGTCTGAACTTACCACCAAAAGCCTCACTTCAGAGCACCTTCTTGCAAGCTGCCGAATCAGTGAATGAGCCTCCGGTAGTAAAGGTTTTTCAAGACAAGCCAATAAAGCATAAAGCCATCTTCCCTATACAGGATTTAAAAAAGTAGTAAGTAGGCAAACTACATGGTAAGTTTAATTTATAATTACTTAATTGTACCTCAGAAAGGCTGTATCAAGTTATATTCCACCAGCAGTACACATGACTGAGTTTATTTGGAGGAACACAGCGCTCCAGGGACTACTCAAGAGCATTAGAACAAAGTTTAAACAGCAATCTGTGCAACACACTAAGTTAGCTCCTCAAGCAACCCCAAGTCAATGGCTTTTTTCCCCATTTTTTTAAAAAATGGTTTCGCTCTATTCAAGCTTTATTTCAATGACTTTTTCTTGAACAAAAAGATTCACATCCAGGTTCCCCTCACAAAGAGTGAGTGGGATTCTCTTCTACGTGAAAAGAGAGGTATACATTTAAACCTGACCAGAAGCTTCTGGACGGCAAAGATTATATCTTATTTTGACTGGGAGCATTGAAGCTTCAGATACTCTTTTTTGCAAGTATCCTCAATGGTGAAAAATACTTGTTTTTAAAATCAAATCTAACTGAAAAGGATGATAAAATTTCTTATTAGGGGATTGGTGGGCAATTCATTTACATAACATCTATCAAATTTACCCAATTTTGAAGGTGAAAAATTTTTAAGCTGTGAGTGTAACGCAATAAAATAGAAGGACAGTACAGTATAGTTGGTCAAAGTACAGCCAGACTGCCCCAGCATGAGTCTCAGTTCTGCCAGTTATAATCTGTGTGCCCTCAGGCAAGTTACTGAATCACTATGAGCTCGTTTCCTCATCTGTAAAATGGAAATAACAGCTCATAGGTTACTGAAAGATTCAAGGAGTTATTATACATAAAATCCTTAGAATGAAGCCTGGCACATATATTTGCTATTATTCCTATTTCTGATATTCTTTAGTGGACTGGATTTCAAAACCATTTTAGAAATGCATTTCAAACTTCTCTAAGCCAGGACTATTTGAAATGGGGTCTGCAGACTGGTAGCCATTCTGTTTGTTACTGATCTGTGAAAAGATAAGCAGCTTCTCCCAGGATATAAACCAACTATTTGGTTGATTTTTTTTTTCTCCCCAATGCAAGACTCTCAATGAAGGAAGTACTATGTTCATTAACATTCTATTGTCTGCAAACAAGCATTGTCTGCATTATACACATAGATGAATAACACATACATATATATAAATAGTGTAGAGCCATAGCTTACATATAAAGTAAGTATATATAATTTTGTCTGCATTATGAAAAGAAAAAGATGCAATACTACCAATTCTGGAGTAAAGTCTCTTTCTCCAAACCAATTATTCAGATATTCCAAGACACTAGTTACCGTTGACTAAAAAAACGGGGAGGGGGAAGAGATGGGAGAACAGCATTAGTAATATAGCACTGACAATTCAAGCTGAGTTACATTAAGTTCAGTGAGAAAGCAGCTCTGCTTAAAATGGACTACTTCTTTAGAGTTAAAGAGAAACCTTTGACTCTATTTAGTAATTTGATTAGATGGAACACTCAGTGAGATAAGGCTTTTTTGACAAATATTTTTATATATTTTCAATTATCAACACGGTTTAAATCCTAGGATTTAATTAGTAACTACTAATTTAGTTCAGAACTATTTTCTAAAAATTCCACCTACTCTTAAAAAAAGGTCTTTGCATAAATACCTTCAGCTTATTTTCATTAAATCAAAGTACAAATAATCTAAAGACAAAGTTAGCTAGAAAAAGATTAATTTAAAAGCTATACAGATAGAATTTACCAAATTCTCTAGCTTATTCTAATCCAGATGGGACACTTACAAAATTCACTCTCATTGAATTTAGTATAATTATTAGAGAGTATCTTAATGTAAATGATCAAATAAGTAAAACTGTAGGCTAGTATATTATTTACAACAGAGTATGACCTGTTAAAAAATTTATCTTCCAAGGATAGCCAATATATGTGAATACAAAACAATCAAAGTTTTATTTGCTCTTTAAGAGGGTAACAGAGTTCCTAGTGCTGAGAGACTGAACAAATAAAATCCATATTGCTTCCCTTTTGACCTAAGAAATTCAAATTTCATTCTTAATGAAGTGTGCACAACATCTGTAACTAGAAATAGCAAGCTAACCTTAGTAATTTTTTCAAACCCCATAATCTAAGACTTATATCTGAAACATAAGCATATGAATAGTTTAGCACACAATAAAGAGCATGAGTTCTGAAGTGAGATCAGCCTGGGACTGAATTCCAGTGCTGCCAGTAATACTTGCTAATAAACCACCTGCAAATGACTTCATCGCCACTGTTTCCTCATTTATTAAAAAAAAGGATATTAATAATAATTCCCCATATAAGGCTGTAGTGAGGATTAAATAAGAATTTTTAAAGAGTTTAGGACAGGGTCTTACATACTGTAAAAATTAAATAAATGTATTCAAATATCTTCACACACTGCAAACAGAAGAATGCATATATTCTTATTATTATTAGATATATTTTACCTGATTCATTCTGCTAACAATACTAAGCAAGGGAGGAAAACCAATCTGAAAGAAAAATGAGACTGAAGTTTACCAAGTGGTAAGTAAAGGGGGGAGGCTTCATTTTTTTAAATTGGTGAATTTCTCAACATGCTGTTTTATAAAAACAAAAAATAGATAAAAATTCCTTCATTATATATTACAATAAAACATTCCATGAACTATTATGCTAATAATGCCCAAGAAAACAATGTCTTGACATTTGAATACATAAATGTAAAAATATAGAATGATTTGAGTAATGAAGATATTAAAATAAAACATGTAATTAAAAACATAGTATGATATTAATAACTTGTGCACACTCTTTCAAAAATCTTAGCTAAAGCAAACATTTTGGGGAAGTAAGGGTACTTGAATGAGTTCTTTCAAACCTAATCTGCTTTAAATAAAAAAAATTACTTTGCACTTTAATGTTGGGAGCTTTGATTATGAAAATAGTACTGACTTATGAGAAACTTAAGTGGACACGAATTAAAGTATATTTTGCAATAACAAACTGAATAAATATACATTCTTTGCCAAATTAAAAAATTTTGAAAAGTAACATACATTAGGGATATAATACAATAGACGAAATGCTGTATAAGAAACACCATCAAACTAGCTCTGAGAACTCAATCTGTCTACACTCTCACCACCATGCATTAAGAGTGCCTGTTTTCCCAGCCCTTATTAAGAGTGCGTCAAACTTGCTTTACCAATGTTAACTGAAAAATGTCAGCTCAATGGAGCTGTAAGTAATGTTTTCATTTTAAGTGAGTTTGGGAATCTTCTCATAAAAGAACAATTTGCATCTCCTTCCTGTGAAATGTCTCTTTACATCCTTTGCTTGTTTTTTTTTTTTTTTCAATTGGGGTCTTGGTCTTTTTTAGTGATTTTCAGAGCTTTTACATTTAGGGGATAAACTAATTTTAAAAGAGAAAAACAAAACATGGCACCAAAGAGAAAACAATAAATACATATTCAACAGAACAGACAACATGGTATAGGGAGTTACCAGTAATGCAGATGTATGAACATCTGCAAGCTTGGGGGCAGGTGAATCCTGAAGGACAAAAAGCGGCTGGCCACATAATTTATTATTAAAGTCATATGAAACGTAAATAATCTTTATATTTATAAAATATAAATTAGATACAGCCTCAACATTTCACCGCCAGAATATGCAACTTATTACGCATTTTTAAGCACCTGAGTGATGTTTTCGTTTCTCTGACTACTCAGAACTCATTGTCTGACCCTTGCCTAATCATTAAAAAAAAAGTCCTATCTAGCTCAAAAAATTATTAAACAGCAAAAGCACACAGTTTTAGAAAACAGGCTGATCTAAATCAGTCATATATTATTTGCTTTTTAAAATTTTTTTATAACCTTGGAAAACAAAAAAGCTATTATGTTTCTATGTTTAGCAAATGAGCTTATAAAAACAGTCAGGAGACTTGATTTGGCCTAAGCTGTATTCTGCTAAGTCTCTATACTACATCTTGCACCAAAACTATGACCTGTTTTTTGTGTGTTTAGTCACAGTATCACTTACTTGTACATAATCGATTCCAGGACTTTCACTTGCAGCTGGTCCAACAGCACCTTCAGCACATAACCTTTCACCTAGACAAAATTTTTTCCAGCCTTCTTCATCTCTAAATTTTGGCTAAAAGAAAAAAAAAAAAAAAGAATTTACTTACGTATTTTCTTTAATACTGAACAATGAAAAAACAAGTGAGGATTCCTTCATATTCCCACCGCCTCACACAAACATATAATGCTTGTAACAGAGTGAACTGTGTCCCCTCAAAATGCGTATGTTGAAACCCTCACCTCTAGCGTGTGACAGTTAGAAGACTGAGTCTTTACAGCAGTGATTTAAGTTAAAATGAGGTGGGTAGAGTGGGTCCTAATCCAATCTGACTGACATCCTTGTTAGAAGAGGAAATTTGGATAAAAAGACATGAGGGATGCGTATGCACACAGAAGGCCATGTGAGGACACAGCTAGAAGATGGCCATCTGCAAGCCAGAGAGAAAGGGTGGCCTTTAGAGAAACCTACTGAAACCTTGATCTTAGCCCTCTAACCCACAAAGCTGTAAGAAAATACATTACTGTTTGTTAAGCCACTCCATCTGTGGTGGTTTGTTACAGCAGTCCTAGAAAACCAATACAGGACCCAAGTGGTCACACCATATGTGGGACATTTTTAGTCTGGATCATACTTTAGTGAACACTGACAAGCAAGTATGTGCTCAAAAGAGGGTGATAAAGACGTAAAATTGATATTAAAAAAAAATACACTAAGAATGCTTACAAGAATGAAGCCTATTTATCCCAAGGAAGGAGACATAATTACATACTTCACATAAAAGGCTGTCCAATCAAAGAAGGAATAGATTTACACTGTCAGAGGAAAAAAGCATGACCTTTCAGCTCAATCTTAACAGAACGTAAAATTTTTTAAAATTATTTATTTATTTATAGTTGATTTATAATATTGAGTTAGTTTCAGGTGTATAGCAAAGTGATTCAGTTAACAGAACAATTTTTATTTGGACACATCACCTCACAAATAATTTTACACACACATGCAGTTAGATTCTCAGAAGGAAAACAAAACCCCTAAAAGGTAAAAGCCTACTGTCCTGGAACAATGTTTTCCCATTACTCCACTAGGTCAGAGACTGTTTCTGCTTCAGGTAGCACTGAAAATCCTAATTATTACATATGGTTGGTGCTTAACAAATGATTAGATCAATCAATCAATCAATATTTCATATTTACATAGCTGCCTTCAGAGGTTGCTTTAAAAATTCACTTTTTACATGTTTCACATCTGCCACGATGAATATATGTTATTGCTATGTAATATTCCACTGTTTTGATGGAGGATCTTCATTTATTAAGTCGATTAATTATGTTGTCATTTCTTTTTTGACAAAATTATATCATCATCATGTTACTGATGAAGCTTCTTTTTGAATTATATAGGTACCCAAAAGTCCTTACCTTGAGCAAGGAAAAAATGTATCTACCTACCTACTTCCCTCTCCCTCTTCTTACCAGGAGGGCTCACCATACAGTGAAAGGCTTCTGAATCAAAGTCTGGTCTGTATCTCAGCTATACTTATTTTATGAGTTAAATGATCTTGGGCAAGTGATGTTAGTGTCTTTCACACTTTTCCTAGAGCAGAGCTTCCAACTAGTATACAGAAGCATGTAGAGAGGTTACACTGAATCTCTCAGTTTTCAGCTGGTAGTCTTAAGCCATGAAAGCAGCTTCCTCCATTTATCCCAAAGTGACATCATTTAAAAGATGTTAGGAAGCACCGCCTAGAAGAAGCTTCTAAAATCTGAAATCTATGGGGAATTCCCTCGTGGGCCAATGGTTAGGACTCCGTGCTTACACTGCAGGAGGCATGGGTTTGATCCCTGGTCAGAGAACCAAGATCCCACGGGGAGTGCAGCATGGCCAAAAAAACCCCCTGAAATCTATGAACCACGTGAAACAATGAGCAAAATTATATGAATAGGTGCATTTTCCCCCCTCTGAAAATAAACAGCTTTCATTTGATTCTCCAGAAGAATATGAGACTCCCTAGGAGGTTAAAGAGCTTTCCTGGTTGCTCAGTGGTAAAGAATCGGCCTGCCAATGCAGGAGTGTCGGCTTCAATCCCTGGGGTGGAAAGAGACCCTGGGGAAGGAAATGGCAACCCACTCCAATATTCTTCCCTGGGAAATCCCATGGACAGAGGAGTCTGGTGGGCTACAGTCCATAGGGTTGCAAAGAGTCAGACACGATTGAGTGACAAACACTTTCACTTTTTCAATGGAGATACAGACATAGGGTACAGACTTGTGGACACAGTGTGGGAAGCAGAAGGTGGGACAAATTTGGAGAGCAGCATGGAATATATAAATCACCATGTAAAATAGACAGCCAGTAGAAATTTGCTGGATGAGATAAGGAACTCAAATCAGGTGCTCTGTGACAACCTAGAGGGGCTGGATGGGGTGGGAGGTGCAAATGAGGTTCAAGAGGGAGGGGGCGTATGTATACCATTCATGTTGATGTAGGGCAGAAACCAATACAATATTGTAAAACAGCTATCCCCCAATTAAAAATTTTAAAAAATTAGTCTAAGCTGATAAAACATGAAACAGTACTTTCCACTAAGCATAACAAACTTTACTAAAAAGTCAGTCACTGGTACTGGCACCATTACCTCATCAGGAAAATCCCAGGCACCTTTATTCAATCTTTTTGTAAATACTAAAAATGCTATTTACTTTCTTGAAAACCAAATGTCTAGAAGGACCTTTACAGACTTGTAGAGACTGATCCAAAGTCTCTCAAGATGTGGATTGAGGGTGTCATAAACATAACTTGCATTACTTATTCTATCCTTTTCAGGTGAAAAGACAATGGAATTGTTGCTATTAATAGTAGATGGGAGAGAACTAAAATAACATGGATTAAACAAGAGAATCTTTAAGAACTGAAATAAATACAGACTGTTTCAAATAGTTACACACTGTACAATCGAAAGAGAGAAACTTACATACCATGGTCACATTACTATCCAACTGTTGTGATTTCCAGTGACTTCTATGTCTGTTCATACTCTAAAGGAAGAGAAATCAGACAAATGATCTTCATAGAATGGATAACTCAAAAGCAATCAATTGCTGCACAACATTCTAACAATCTTAAAGCCTGGGAAATGTTTCAAATTGTATTATAATCACTCAAATGAGTGATTATAATAGTAATTTGGTAACTGATTCATGAATATTCTTATCTTTATATATTTAGTAGCCCAATTTTTCCAACTACAGTCTAAGAACAGAAATAAATCTGAAGGAAGGCTTTAATTTGATTAAATGACAGAAGTACAAACCTACCTGCCGAACAGTTGAAAACTGTGCCACTTGCTGCTGTTGCCACTGAAGAGTGGGGGAGAATCCTTCCGGGGCAGGCTGGCATCCTGAAAGCTAGAGATCAGTTCATAAATTTCAGAATCAATGTTAAGTGTTACCACTAGAATCTCAAGCCTCTGCAAAGTGAAAGCAGAATCAAGAGGAAAAATGAGTAACAAAGCAAGTAAGACTACACAAGAAAGGAAGTACTTTTTGCAGATGTAAAAAAGGAGGCAATTCATTTATGTTAAGTTTAAAACATCAAGAAAAGATCCTTATATAGTTGCTTTAGTAAAAGCAATCTGGAACAGTTTATAGTTGGAGTTTCTACAAAGTCCAAATATAAGACCTAAAGATATAACCCAGTACTACCTTTCTATAATAGCAAAACTGAAACAAAAAGACGTAATGCAAATAAAACATTCTGGTATGAGCAGAATGCAAATAATTCAAGACATTTGATTTTACATTTGAGTTTTTTCAAAACAGCACATAGGTCACAATTGATCACATGTTGCCTTGAAATAAAACTGAGTGTGGTCACATTTTAAAAGTCAGGTATACAAGGTATTAGCTGTCATCAACTAAAAATTCCTGTAAAGGAATTATATGAAACATTATAGTGTCTGAGTTAAAAATCTCCTGATAATAAACATCAGATAAACAAATTACTTAGAACAAAAAAGGAAAAGGAACTGCGGTCATTTTTAAAATGCTGCTCTCAAAAAAAAAAAAAAATGCTGCTTTTCTTCCACCGTAGGTTAAACAGCATCAAATGGCCCTTCTGTGGCTACTCCATCCAGATTAGTTCTCCCTGTTACTTACTGATCATTATATGTTAACTTTCTTCACAGCAACAGACACAATATATAATTGTTTGCTTTTTAAATGTCTTCCTCAGGAGAAGCAAATTCTACAAGGGTAGGGACCTCTTCTGTCTCATCCTCTTGTTGTATTCCCAGTGCCTGGAGCATACAGCTGCTTAGTTAAAAAAATGTGCTGGATAAATAAATGAATGAAAAGCTTCATAGTGGGCAAGTAGGTAGAAAAGTGTGACACTTGGGTTTCTGTTTTTAAAAAACAAAACCTAGTCAAATTCAAAACATATAAACTACTCTAAGGAAGATTAAACGCTAGCCCAATAATAATTATGAACTGGTAAAAGGTACCTTAAAAATAAAGGCTAGCATAAACAACCTATTTAAAGACTCCATGAAGATCGGATCATGCTCCTAAACTGTTAGGAGCAAAACTCCACGAATGTCAGGGTTACTGAAAGCCTCTCTAGAGGCAGTAAACGCCTGCTGTCCTTTTGGGGGGAAAAGTACAAGCAATTGTCTAACTGAGCATACAGCAGTCAAATCTTACACTGTAACTGATCCTGTCTGATACTTTCTGACACTATAGGGTGAGCCTCCGTCTTTTAATTTGCGAGGAGGAAAAAAAAAAAAAAATCCCCTGACGCGTAATAACACTCACAGAAATATTCACACTTTGCTTCCTTTTCAACTTCTTTGGGTCAATTTGAGCTACCACAACATCTGGACATTGAGCTGCTTCGATCCTACAAACAAGTAATAAATGCAAAAACCGTTATTACTATTGTTCACCTGTATTATAACAAGCGATCCAACTTCTACAGTTCAACATAAAGTTACAAAGTTCAGAATTGGAATTGAAGCTCTAAACAATACATTTCTGAAATTATCTGGACTGAAAGCAATCTAAGAGCATGTATCTTGTCACGAATAATCAGGTTTAATAAAATGAAGTTCACAGAAACTCCCTCACACAAAGATGTAATCAAGGGATTTTGTTCTGACCGAGTATAGGAAGGGAACAGAAGTGGGGCTTTATCGCACTTTGGGGTCGAGCGGGGCACGGGTGCTGTGCCCAAGGGCGTAAGGACAACCGGCCCACCCGCACAGGGTCCAACACTCACTGGACCCGCCTCAGGTATTCCTGGGGAGTGCTAGGAGGTACGCTGGGATCGAAACTTTCCGTCAAGTCGCAGGGCTCCACCGGCAAAAGCCGTGGCATCAACTCCTCCACCGCAGACTCCGCAGGAACCCACGCCATAGTTTTCAATGAAGAGCGTCCCACCCAGCGCATGCGCCAGAGCTTGCGCAGGCGCACATGGAGGCGCGTTAGGCGCGGAGTTGAGCAAGAGGCCGGCCTTAGGTGGCGTAACTGCGCATGAGCAAACCTGAAGCTTGTCCCAGAGTTTAAGGGTCCGGTGGTGTAGTGATGACTACGAACTTAGTTCCTTGTAGAAGTGGTTCTGAAGTTTTTTTCTGGGTTTTATTCTTATACCTTTCTAAGACCAAGGGTTATTAACTTTTATGCATCATTAGTATTGAGGGAACTGTAAGTACTTTTTAAGTTAATGAGCAGTTACTGTAACGATCATTTATTGACCTTTACATTCACATCACCTGCATTTTCTCATTTAATTTTTACTGTCTTTTAAAGTAAGTGGTATTATGCAAGGTTTGTGGGGGGAGGAAATCGACTGGAAGAGGGGTGTAACTTTCTTCTAAAGAAGACCCATTGGAAAAGACCCTGACGCTGGGAAAGATTGATAGCAGGAGGAGACGGGAGTGACAGATGATGAGATGGTTGGATGGCATCACCAACTCCATGGACATGAGTTTGAGCAAACTCTGGGAGATGGTCAACAGGGAAGCCTGGTGTGCTGCAGTCTATGGAATCGCAGAGTCAGACACCAATGAACAACAACAGAAGAGAAGAGCCAATTCCAATCCAGATTTATCTGATGCCAAATGAATGTAAAACTAGTTTCCCAGAGGAATTTCTTGTACTTGGCTGTGCCACAGATCAGTTTATATTTATCCAAAATGAATCTTGTTACTAGAGTAGCCATCCCTTTTTCTTTTTTAAGAAAGATTTCTTAAATAGTGCAAAGAACAAAGTTAATGCCAACACCCAGAAGTTATCATTGTTAATCTTAGGGGCAATCTTGTGAGGGGGTACTGTTATTTCTACTTTACAAGTGAGTGAACAAGGCAGAAATGGATTAAGTTAACTTATGCTAGGTCACAAGTTGAAAGAAACAATGAAAGTACTATCTTCTAAACAAAGTACTATGTCTTTTCTAAACAAGCTCTGAGTGAATACAGTTGTTTTCTAAGGTCTACTTAATTTAAGGCTTTTTTGTTTGTTCTTAAATCAGTCTTTAGATTGCAAGCAATTTATTTTAAAACCAGAATGTAACTTTCCAAACTGGAGTAAAGTAAGGACAATCTTAGGTTAAGCGCTTAAGAATTGGTGCTTATAAATACTAACTAAATAATTGGGAGACGTGGAAAGAAATTGCCTGGCTGCAAACTAAAAAGTTATTTGGTTAAAAAATCTTACTAATTTTAGAAGAAACGAACTTACAAAAGATGTGGAGAAACACTCCTGTCACCAAACATTTTGGTGATGATCAAGAATAAATTAGAAATCATAATGTGTCATTTCTGGATTTTCTTACACATACTTTTTTCTTTGGAAACTAGCTTATTAGCAATTTACCCCCATTTTTCTGTAGAAAAGAATCTACTAGATCAACCACAAAGGGAACAATTTTTAATACTGGACTCCATATATAAGTGCATGGCAAAACTACACATGGATGAAGGAAACAAGGAGAGAGATAACAAAATGGAACAAAGCTTGTCCCAGGAAATAATAAGAAAACTTTTTCAAAAGAAGTGTGTAATAAAGGACATCAATAATTCTGAAATGGTTCTAAAATTTTAAATACACAGGTATGAATTCATTCAAGAGAGAGGAAATTAATTAAACATTTATAAGGGTTACTGTCTGCTCTTTAAAACTAATCTGGCTTAAAAGAATTGAGGAATGAATTTTGGAACACGTTTAATATGGTTATAAATAGGAAATTGCACCAAGTATTTTTTTAAAGTCTTTATTGAATTTGTCACAATACTGCTGCTGTTTTACGTTGTGTTTTTTCGGTCATGAGACATGTTAGCTTCCCGACCAGGGATAGAACCCACAGCCCCTGTATTGGAAGGTGAAATCTTAACCACTGGACCACCAGAGAAGTCCCCTGCGCTAAGAATTTTTGAATGTTTTGATTGAGCTATGAGACAGTTGAGAAGAAACTGTATTTTGTTGATGAAGTTATTCTGAAGAAAAACTTTTTAGAAATCTGAACTTCTAAAACTATAACAACCATTTCTTGCTAGGAAGAACTATTTCTAAGATACTTAACTGCTTCTGAGGCCCTGTTTTTAAAGATTTCCAGTCACTTCTTAGTTTACAGTGGAAAGATTTTTATGTTTCAATGTTTCTCACACTGGTTCTTGGCTGTGGGAGTAATATGAAGGTTGTGCGCACAGAATGTCTGTTAATTGATGACAGCGGCATCTGCTAAGTCAAACTTGCAGAACTAAATGAAAAATTTGTCCCTGTATTTTATGTCCTTAAAGCAGCTCAGTTATTTTCAAGTATTAGGGTATACAAGAATTAACTGGAAGAAATTCTTTAAAATACAGACTCCTGGGGCCTATAACTCTCTCCTCCAGAGTTTCTGACTCTGTTTATTGGTTGTAGGACTCTGAAACTGAAATTTTTAGAAAGCATTCCAAGTGAGAAACATAGCTTAGTCCATCCATTTTATCTTTTCCTCCTTATTCTTTAAGATTTACTCCCCTAGAATTTGGGGCTCTCCAAGTGGTGTTAGTGGTAAAGAACTCACCTGGCAATGTAGGAGACATGAGAGACGTGGCTTCGATCTCTGGCTTGGAGATTGCGCTCCTGAAGCACTGCGCGAGAAGCCAGTCCAGTCTTCTTGCCTGATAAATCCCATGGACAGAGGAGCCTGGCAGGCTACAGTCCATAGGTTCTCAAAGAGTCGGGCATGACTCAAACAACTTGGCACACACCCTAGAATTTTTCTGTGTTACCATACTTTGTCAGGTACTTTCTTTTCTCCTTGGCCACAGTCTGGAATTTCACTTGTCCCTTTATGCCATTAAACTTTAATAAATTCAGTCATCCAATTAACATTTCAGTTCAGTTCAGTCGCTCAGTCGTGTGTGACTCTTTGCGACCCCATGAACCGCAGCATGCCAGGCCTCCCTGTCCATCACCAACTCTCAGAGTTTACCCAAACTCATGTCCATTGAGTCGGTGATGCCATCCAGCCATCTCATCCTCTGTCGTCCACTTCTCCTTCTGCCTGCAATCTTTCCGAACATCAGGGTCTTTTCAAATGAGTCAGCTCTTTCCATTAGGTGGCCAGAGTATTGGAGTTTCAGCTTCAACATCAGTCCTTCCAATGAACACCCAGGACTGATTTCCTTTAGGATGGACTGGTTGGATCTCCTTGCAGTCCAAGGGACTCTTGAGTCTTCTCTAACACCACAGTTCAAAAGCATCAATTCTTCTATGCTCAGCTTTCTTTAAAGTCCAACTCTCACATGCATACATGACTACTGGAAAAATCATAGCCTTGACTAGACGGACCTTTGTTGACCAAGTAATGTCTCTGCTTTTTAATATGCTGTCTAGGTTTATCAGTTTTCTATTATGTGTCGGACACTGTCATAGGCATTGGGATTTAGTAGGTGATGTGGGGACAGTGGAGGTTTGCTGTCAGGAAATGGGGACAATTTTGAGGAGAACAATTCTGAGGAGTCCTGTTCCTTGGTTAAATACCTACATGTGATTTTTTAGGCCTGACCATGAGTGCATGCTCAGTCGCTTCAGTCATGTCTGACTCTCTGCGACTCTATGGACTGTAGCCCGCCAGGCTCCTCTGTCCATGGGATTCTCCAGGCAAGAATACTGGAGTGAGTTGCCATGTCCTCCTCCAGGGGATCTTCCCGACCCAGAGATAGAGCCAGGCTAATTTCAGGGTCTCAGAAACTGCTTTTCTCTTTCTTTCGGCTATGTTTTATACAGATTATCATGATATATTGTTATTCTAAGCGGTAAGTACAATTATTATGTTTATTTTCAGATGAAGAAACTGGCTCAGAAAAGGTTATATAACATGCCCAGATCATACAACTAGGAAGTGGATGAAGGGGAGAGTCCATCTTGGGTAGTCAGATTAATGAACCATTGCTCAAAAAATTACTATGCTCCACGAGATACAGCTCATCACTTGTGAGAGCCTTTATGACCCACTGGCTGTAGATTAGAGAGAGGCAATTCTATTAGGTGCAAGGTCACACCTAGTCAGGTCACACCCTTTGGGCATAAGCAGTCAGACTCTTTATCTCTGAGAATGCTGTTCTTAAGCTTTTGAATCCAGATCCAACAAAGCTGACTTGATGCCAGAAAATTGAGGCAAAGTCTAACTTAATTATAGAAACTCCAAACCCAAAACTTTACTCCCCTTTTAAAGTAAAAATACAAATCTAGCTCCTTCCTTTTAAAGTAGGAGTTCTCTTCTTTGCTACATGGTTTTAATAATTCTTATGTTCTTTGGAGTCGGACATGACTGAGTGACTTCACTTATGTTCTTAGGAAATCAAATAAACATTAGACAAAAAGAAAAGGAAAAAAGCTTTAAAAAATATTTTTAAAAAATTTTAAAATAACCATGTTCTGTTTCTTTAGCTATAACTGAGTTAAGAGCAGATCATATGATTTCATTTGTTTTGTTTGATTACATGTACTCTTAGTAATAATTATGGATTTGGTCAGGGTGGCAGAATGAAATGATACTGAAGTATAATACTGGTGGGGCACTCTGTGGAATAGAAACAATTGCTGTTTGAACAAGAGCTAGAAATTTTAATGCCAAGTCTTGCCAACATTTAAAGAGGATATGACAGGCATGAAACTAGTACTAAGTGCTTTAGGTTTTAAATGGACATAAACACCCTGACCTTGGATATGCTACTTAAACTCTATTATCCTCACATTCATTTGCTATATACATGGATTGGACTAACTGATCACTGAGATCTATTTGAGTTTAGAATTCTATAACTCTCATCCATCCTAAAGGAGATCAGTCCTGGGTGTTCATTGGAAGGACTGATGTTGAAGCTGAAACTCTAATACTTTGGCCATCTGATACGAAGAGCTGGACTCATTGGAAAAGACCCTGATGCTGGAAAAGATTGAGGGCAGGAGGAGAAGGGGATGACAGAGGATGAGATGGTTGGATGGCA